GTGATGAAGGCTCATGTACTTGATGCAGATGAAGTCTCCACCCTCGAGACCTCTCCTTCTCTTCTCTCGTCTCATTGCCCCAAACCAGATATGACAGCATCGATTGGCTACCATCGCGTCCACCAAGAGGGACCGATGTCGAGGTGGCCTTGGTCTGGCAAAGAGACACTGCAAATGGGTCCTTGCTAAGAAGTTCCTCAAAGTTGGGTGGGGATATTACTTGCAACTCATGGCCGGTGCATGCCTCTTCCACCTCAACTTCATCCTCAGCCTGGACGCCAATTGCTTCTTCAACCTCCCTTCCTTCTTCATGTGGTATCACCTCTGGGAAATGATCAAGAACTCCTCCTGCTTCACTTTCGTCATCCTCCACAACTTCTTTCTGCACCCTTTGTTGCTCTTCTTCTTCTAGCACGGATTGGAGAGCAAGTTGCCAAGCAATTTCTTTCATGAGATCTTCTTGCAACTCCTCACTCATGCCCGCCTCTTCAAAGCGCAGTTTGGGGTGTGGGAAGGTGTGGTCGGCTACGACAGGACACTCCTGATCATGATCATCACGGGAGCTCTCAGTGACAACTTCAGTGTGCTCCACAATGTCCTTGTAGCCTTCTTCTTCCTCCTCCTCTTCTTGTATGGTAGCAGAAGGGTGATCTGGAGCAGGCCGTGCCCAAGATCACTCAAGATCATCGACGCTCTTCTTAAGGCTCAGGAGGATCTCCTCTGTTTCACGATAGGCCTGGACACAATGATCCATACTGGAGCATGATCTCTCCATGAGAAGCCTCAAATCATAGTGTGGATCTGGCTGTGGAGTGTAGCATGGCTCTGCAAAATGGCCCGTGAAGGCCGCCATGGGTAACTCCAGCTCCAATGGCCCTTCTGGTTGTGGGAGAAATTCTTCTTGGTAATGAGGTTGTTCTTGATATGCCCAGGGGTCCGGTTGTTCTCCGTAGTAAGGGGGTTGGTACTGGAACCCGAATCCATAGTCTTCACCTCCTTGATTGATCCAGGGAGTCTCGGGGTAATACCACCCAGATGGTGGTGGATACCCCCAATGATTGGAGAAGCCATTAGGATCCATGATTCAGATCTGCATCAACAAAAACAAAAACACCCAAGTGAAAAGCAAGGGTGGAAAAGAAAAGAAAAACGCTAAAGTAACAAACTTCTGCCTTTCCTAATACTCTAGAAAGTCCCCGGCAACGGCGCCAAAAACTTGACTGCTCTAAAACACAACACCTAACAAAGGCCAAGTGTAACCAATGAAAGGGACTGCAGTATAGTGGCTCAAGTGATAAATATCGAATCCACGGGTCTCTAGAGTTACTATTACTCAGCTTCAGTTTATTATTTAGCAAATCAGATTAAGATGAAAGAACTAAAACTACTCTAGCAAACTACAGTTAAAGTTAATCTAATTACAGGTTGGGAACTCACTTAGGTATGATTCCCCCTAGCCACTAGCCAGATTAATGATTGATGATCTCTAACCTGTTTCACTTTCATTCACAATGCGGAGAATCCTTGACTAGACCTTGAGTCTCGACCAAAGGAACAAGGCCCTCTTGAGTCTATTGCCTAGAGGGACGTATCCTTCTCTAGAACAACTGATCAAGGCGTTCTGAACTAGACTCCCTCTATCGAAAGAGGTTCTCAATCGATACAAAGCAGTGAATCAACCCTTGACTAAAGCAATCGATCCACTACTATGAATCTATGGTGCTCTATTGACCTAATCAGGTATTCCCTCTCATAGGATCAAAGCAGAATCAATAATCTCGACTAAAGCAGAATTGAATCATGAAAACATGCATAGATTGAATATGAACTCAAGATTATCAAGTCAGAGTACTCATACAATCATCCAATCAAACAAACATAGCTAGGGTTCCTCAAAACCTAAGTGAAGGGAAGTTACTCCATAGAGAAGAGAGAGACTGCAGTAAGAATCTTCAGATGATCAGTCTTCAAGTCCGGGCTTGTTCCTCGAGCTTCCAAGGCAAAGAAATCCTCCTTCTCTACTCCAAGAATGCCCTCAAATCGCCCTCTCTCTCTTTGGTTCGTCCCTTAGGTGTTTGGGATCCAAAAACCCAGCTCTCCTCCTCTCCTTTGGCTGAAAATCGGGTTTTAAGCAGAAAATCCCGACTCACACGGGCAGGGTGGCACGGCCGTGTGGCTTACCCAGTTGCCCGTGTGAGTCAAAACGCTGCGTTCCAATTAGTTCGAATTCCAGGCTCTTTGCACGGCCAGAGTGGCACGGCCGTGTGAACTTCCTTTTTGCCCGTGTTTGCTCACGCAGAATTCCACACGGCCAGACTGGCCTCTTGCACGGCCGTGTCGATGTCCTGCTCTGCCCGTGTTTGCTCTCGGCGAAACTCGCACGGCCAGACTTCTCCTTCACACGGCCGTGTGATCATCAGGGCAGCCCGTGTGACCTCCTTTGTGACTTGTCTCGCGCCCGATCTTCGCCCAATCGACCCCGAACTCGCTCCTAAACCTTCATTCACTTGCCAGGACCTGAAATATCACAAACAAGCACAACCTAGCGTCAAATCGGTCTAAAACACGAGAAACCACATCCCAACGGTGTAAGAACAGGGGTGAAAACATGTGTAACTAACGGTCTATCATATATACAAGAGGGGAAAGTTGTCATATGTATAGTATAAAAGTGGGAGGAGGGAAAGTACATTGCTTTGTTTTTCAAGATTTGTACTTTTAGTGTTTGAGATCTTAATAATATATCGGTGAGGGATCTTTCACTCAATAAAAATACTATAGTTTATTTCTTGATTACTGCCTCCATTTTCAGAAGTCTTATACGATTGGGCCAACAATATTTTTTCCGGATTTCGAACTCTGGTCCTCTATCGGCCATGCTCTTGTCATTTCACGCCCAAATTACATTTCATAATTTTAGTAGCCAAAATTAAGTAAATTTATAAACAAGTAAAAAACTCGATTTAATAATTCAATAAAAAAACGAGTGAGAAAAATAATTCAACTGAAATGTTGCACATAATTTATTTAGGGAGCAACCTCCATATCGAATTCAATCAAATCCATCCGAACTAAATAAAACGACACTGCGGACGGCAACAGTCTTCTTATAAATCAAACGACCCCGCTTCAAGCTGATACTGGCAGTCTTCACATAGTCCTAATCCAAATAGGATAAGGACTTCCATCTTCACTTCAAGTTTTCAACACTCCTTAAGTTCCTACTTCTTGTAACAGGCCTCTTCTGCAAAATCGATAACAACGATTTTAGACGTACAGAAATATTGGATGCAACTGCATTGTGTAGACACGAACAATTATATTTTATTCTTACCCTAGGTTGCTCGTAATCGTCGTCATTGTCATTTTCATCATCGGATGGCCCAGACCCAGTACACATTCTTGCATTATGATTGGTAGAACCGCACTTACTGCAATGCTTTTGCCTTCTCTTCGGTACTGTTTCCGACTAATCTTGAGTGGTGGGAGGATCAACATCGGTGTCATCGCCACCGCCACCTTCTTCTGAAACACCATCATTCGGGGCATCACCGTTTGAGATTGGCTTCACATAGCCAACAAGATGTGGGCATCGGGTCCTATAGTGGCCACATTCACCGCATTTGCTACACTGTCGTGGTTCTCCTTTCTTCCTTTTAGATTTTTTAGCCCCCGAACCTTTAGCTTTGACCTGTAATGGATCCAACAAAATTTCATTCGCCTTCGGTCTATTAATGTCGGGTATGTCCACGTTGCCAGTGTCCACCATGTCCAACTTTTCACATAATAATTGAATTCCCTCACGAGCAATCTTGAAGCACTCACTAGATTTTGCCCCTTTTAACATTAGTTGCAAGCTGTTTTGCTGAATAGTACCATACCTGATTGACACAATATTTTATACAAAGTGAGTAAAATTAATGTTCACCTAGCTTCAAACCAATATAAAAAAAAAATTAAAAGTGATAGTCATGGCAAACCTCAATGCGAAAAGTTGTGATTCATCTATTATGTCTGGTTCCTCCAAGCTCTCTAGTGTCTTCGGCTTCTTTGACCAACTTCGACGTACTAGGCCTTCAGGAAGTTCCAGTATGCTCTCTTCTTTCAGTACAAAAATCATATGACGACATGGTATTCCCATATAATCGTAGTGATTACAACTACACTCCATTGCAAATGGTTCAACTGTGTACGTGACTTGAAAAACCTTATCCATGCCAGACACCATGACCTTGTACACACGCTCAATTTCCGATCGCTCAGTCTCCAATCTTATGCAACATGTCGACTTTTCAACCTCGTCTCTAAATAAGAAGAATGCGTTCTTTGTGAAAACCGCCGCTCCACTCTTCTAAAGTGAGGCTAAGACATTGCTTGTGATGGTTCGTTCTTGATGAATGGATTCAAAATCAGCATGACGCTCATTCTCCCTCATATCCCTAGTCCAACGATCAAAGTGAATAAAGAACTCAAGGAGATTTTTATCCTTCTCGATATAATTGGCAAGTTGAGAGTTCAGTCCTTCACATCTTGATGTTGTACTCAAGCCTGCGAAGAACTTCGAACGCAAATATGCATACCCCCATTCATGTCTTTGCTCAAATAAATTGGAGACCCAATTGTTGTGCTGAAGGGAACATTCCTCAACCACTGATTTCCACTTTTCTTCGAATTCTGAAGGTTCCCAGTCAGCTGACACAAAATGCTTCCATCGGGGCAAAAAAGTAGGATGATTCTTCACATTTCTAGTTATAGTCTTGTCTATATGCCAGGAACATAGACGATGTGTTGCATCGGGAAATACTTTTTGAATAGCATTACGCATTGCTTCCCCATCTGTAATAACAGTCTTGGGATCTCAACATCGCCTAGCCTTCTCTTCAAAGCTCACAACACCCAAATATAATTTTCCTCTCTCTCGTTAGCCAAGAAAGCACATGCAAATACGCAAGTTTGCGAATGGTGGTTGACACCTAAAAAAGTTCAAAAAAGTTAGATTATGCAAACTTCTAGTGTTATTTTAGCATGCTCGGGATAATTCTATGTGTGAAGGAAAAGTACCTGAAAAAATCACGAGAGGCATCTGGTAAATGTTCCTTTTGTAAGTAGCATCGAATGACAGTAATTCTCCAAAGCATTCATAATCAGCAACAGAAATATTATCGGCCCAGAAAATGTTAATAAGCCGGTCGTCGTCATCCTTCTTTAGTTCAATAATGAAATGCTCGTCCGCGCTGCATTTAGCTCCTTCACTGATTTGTTCTTTCCTCTCTTTGTCCACATAATTGTATGCATCCTTCCTCGTGTACCCCAAATTGTCGTAGCCTCCTGCTTCCGATACGGCCAGATTCACAATTTGAGAAGTTTTCATACCTGCAGCTCTGCTAAAATTTATCCCTGCTTTGACTGCATCACTCATACGACGTTTCCCTTTCATGTAGTGTCTATATTCTCTAGGGATCGTTTCATGTGCGTGTACATCATCAAACTGGTGCACATACCACTTCCCATCGACATTGTCTTGTTTAACACGCATCTTGGCTCTGCAGTTAAATCTGGCCTCCCCTCTTACTTCTCTCTTTCGTTATGTGCTCTTCATGCGCCTCTTTCCCTCGCTGGAGCATACATAGTCACGCCATATCATAACTTTGTTCTTATCACGACCAATGTCTGATTTTCTGATGTCGAAGCCTTTGACTAACCCGTAGTCCATGTAGAAATCATAGGCTTCTTGTGTATCATCGAACTTCATTTTTTTAATATCTTCAGGCTGTAGAAATATGAGATCGGCAACATTATCTTCCTGGGTGGTGTGACTGGCTCCGGCACCAGCGTTTTCTTGGACTGACTCCGACGTCAATACTAGGACTTCCTCTGACGTCAATGGTGGGTCTGCCTCCGACGTCATTGTCACTGCTGGAAATTTTGGGGAACCAAGGGCGTAGATTACAAAACCCTACTGGGAATGATGGCCGAATTAATGCTTCAATGGGCCACTTAATAATTATCCCCATTAATAACACGATTTATGATATCTTATATTTTTGGTAGGAACGAGTTGAACTTTTTATTCTTTATCTTAGTAATTTCTTTACCATTTTCACAAATAACGAAAATATTTAAAATGAAAAACCTTGCTTAGTAAAGCCAAACGCCAGCTGACTCTAGATGTGTACTACGTGTATGGGGAAGGATCAAATATTAATATGAGCGAATATTTACTAATAGCACTCAATTCTTTATTCAATCGAAAAAAGTATATTTTTAATTTTAGGTTTAATAACTACCCATGTTTATCCCAAGTTCATGTACCTTAGACTAAACCCTAACTATTTTTCCGCCGGAAAAATTTGGTGCCACAATTTATCCTAACCTTATATATATAATTAATCTTCAGCGGTAGAGCAGTGGTTCCATATCCTTCTTTGCCGCAATTTTGAGTACAAACTAAAGCTTAGATTAGAGGCACAACATGGAAAATAGGAGGATTACTCGCTCTTCGTCCAAGCTTGTGGTATGTATAATAGCTCTTTTATCATTGAAATTCATTTTAGTTAATTTATTAATCGTAGGTTCACTGTCATTGAAGGAGACCGCCAAATTTGTGACTCCAACAAAGAAACCAAGGATACCCAGAGGTGTAAGCACTCCACCCACTCCTGCTTCAGTCATCGTTTTTATTTCGGACGATGAATCTGACTCTGAGGTCACACCAAAGAAGCCAAATGGAAAAAGTATTTGTCTAAGTTATGTTGACAAGGTAATAAAGGTGTCATGTTTGCCATTGAAGTGTTCTTTGTCGTTATTCCATCATAACGAATGCATTTCGACTCGTGTTTATTTGTGGCCCCTATTCCAGGTTTTTTTGAAGTTTAAGCTACCTACCGCTATGGAATACGATGATGAGCAAATCCAGCTTGCTCACTATATATTTTTAGCCAATCTGCCACCTGACGAAGTATTGGTCAAAACCTCAAACAACTCTTCTACCAGGAAGTCATTGTGGTCCTTAAGCCCTCGCTCATTCGTAGATGCTGAAGTAATCAACGGAACTCCAAAATTTTGTTTTGTTTGTCCACTATCAATGCTTTCTACGTAGAATTATTTTATAACAACTCGATAGTATCATGAAGTGTTTTTTGTCCATGTTATATTAGGTTATAACAGCGATGGCCTGCCACTTGACTCTAGAAGAGTTGTGTACAAATTCTAAGGGCGGAAAAGGAGTGTGCTATCTGCCTGCTGAACTATAGGTTATGGTCAGATTATGCTTAATGACAATTTCCTCTCACCAAAAAAAAATACAACACATGTTTTTTTAACGTGAATCATATTGTGTTGACAAAATTTCAATTGTGCAACTACCACATGGGCAGGAACTAGTGATTTCATGTGGAATAACACCCAAGAGGGCATTAGACCTATACGAATCAAAATTCCTTAGTCGAACCAATATGGTGAACAAGGTAAACTGTTCGTCTTAATAAGTATTACATGGTTTGCAGTTTATTTTTTTAATACGTGTTGACAATTTCCGCATATGTAGGTGTGTGTTCCGATGAGAGATAATGCCCATTGGTACTTGGCTGTCATTAAGTTGGACAAGGAAGAAGTCCATATCTTGGATCCACAACCAAATGAAGACCGCAATTCCTTTCGACTACAATCTGTTCAAACAATGGTAAATTTGTGACATTGTGTCGTTATAACGCAAAAAAATGTAAATACCTCTTTCTAAGTACAAACGTTTCTTAATTTGTACAGATGAGATTTATGCAAGCCTTATGGAAGATTATCTATCGTGAACAAGGTCCGGGATTGTCGCCACCAAGGATTGCGGAGTTTTCGTACCCAAATCCTTCAAAGGATCAAGAACAACTTCATCGGTAAGTATGCCCATTTTTTGTGATATTAAACGACGACTTATCAACTTGGTTCTTATCACGCAATGCTTTTATTTTATGTAGGTCTGACAGTGGAGTCTGGGTATGCATGTGGATGTATGGCGCAAGCTGGGACTCCTCTTATATTTGGGTAAAGACAATTCTAATTCGCATATTAGAAAACCACAATTAATTGTTATTTTTGAATCATGCGTTAAGCACCATGTTTGTTGATGTTGATAGCCATGCACTCAAGTGAGGAGGATGCAGATCGCTTTGTACCTTGTTCGAGAGCCCATGAACTACATAAGGCATATGGTGCTCACGGAAGCAAGAACAGTTGCACCTCAAGTTGAAGCTGCAGTGGAAGAGTACAAGAAAGCCCATGAAAGGAGGGAAAAAGGAAAGAGAAGAGCACAAGGAAACCCAGTCAACGAGCCCAAGGACAACCTGATTTTGCGTTTTAGCTTTCAAGATGATGGACAACTGTTATGTTTTTTTTTTCTCAGGATGATGTACAACCGTTTTTGGTTTGTTCGGTGAATGCTTTTTATTTTTGGTTTTTGGTTTGGTGAATGCTTTTTATATTTGGTTTTTGGTTTGGTTTGGTTTAGTGAATGCTTTCTATATTTGGTTTTTGGTTTGGTGAATGCTTTCTATATTTGGTTTTTGGTATTGGGAATGCTTTCTATATTTGGTTTGGTTTGGTTAATTGGTTTGGTTTGGTTTGTTTTTTCGTGGAAATGGCAAAGGGACTTCACCAAAATTCCAGCTTCCAACTTGTGAGTGATGTTGCTTCTGTTCAAGGCTTCAAGCCATTGTATCTTGTAGAGAGGGTTAATTGGGATCATGTATAGTTAAACTGATTGGCTCCCAATCGTCTAATTAAATTTGCATTCATGTACAGATAACCCAAAAGGTAAAACTGATTGGCTCCCAATCAATATAATTAATGACCAAACCCCGTACAAGGCAGATAGAAAATTCTTATGTGTTTAATTTAATGTTCCTAGGATATGGAAAGGCTTCCATTCCTTGAATTTCCACCAACGATGTTTTCACTCCCCTTTTAGTGAGAGAATTCATTGTAGTAATAAATACAATAAAAAGGCATACATAATTAATGGATTCTTTATTGTGTATAATTGAAAGGGTATTTTACTATAAACGAAGCATGATAGATTCACAGGGGGAATAAAAGAAGCATGAGTCTTGATGAAAAAGGGGAAAAATCACCATATATAAAAAAATCATTATAATCAAGCCATATCCATACTATTCACACCTATCATCGTCACTATACTTGTGACCAAATATAAATATAACCATAATTTTCGAAAACCATTGAAAAATGAAGATGAAATAAGTAACACATTCTTCGACCTAATTGGAACTGCTTAGAACAAAAGCGGATTAAAATCTCCCCCAATGAAATTCATTTGCAATTTCATAGGTAGTCCCTACTTCCACTTCTATAATTTTGAGAAAACATTGCAATTTCATCAATAGTCCCCACTCGTGGGCCAATTTCAATTGCAAGCAAATTTGCACCCTTGCAATAGCTTCTCACATCATAGCAAGTGTAGGATGCAATTGCACCTCCATGCCACATCATCTTGCAAGTCACAAAAATTGCACCATTGGAGATGACCATTACTGCATCTCGTCACCTGTCTTAGGAAAATTAGCCATGGCAAATTCACAAAATACTGCATGCATAGAAAAATATTTGTCTGGACAATTAAAAAAATGGGAGACTTTCCTAGTCAGATGATGTACTGGCTCCCCTCAGTACCTGACAGTTTTGAGTGCTGGAGAAAAAGACTGGAAAAAAAACCAACAAAGCCTTATTAAACTTCTTAACAAAAGACATCCATTGCTGGCCCCTTTGCTGCTCCAATGCTCCACCCCGCCCTGCATCAATCGACTCTCATGTAAGCCGAGGACGTTTTCTTGAGGATGCCTCAGGGGTCTCTTCATACTCCGTATGCCGAAGGTCAATAAAAGTATTAGTCAATTCGGCGATACGGTACACTGCAAATAGGCACACTGGTCCTCCTTAACATAAACCCCCATATCCATCCCAACCCTTTCAAGAAAGGTGGTCACGAAGGTGGCATATGGAAAGGCAGTGTACCAGTTTTCCCCTCTAGGAGCAGCCACAACCATGTTCAGGCACATGAGAGATGCGAGGTTAACAGGAACACCTCTTTGAGCTTGCACAAGGATAAACAGGTCAAGTTTACGAATAATCGAATGACCATGGTACCTTGGCATGAAGCAGTTCACGATCATCCAGTGGAGGAATCGAAAAGGATCTGGGAGGAAAGAAGCCTGGATGCACCCCTTCGCCAGTTCAACTTCAAACTCAAAATCATACAGCCGCCCAAGATCGCTTATGCTATCAATGGGGTGTCCTGAGGCGGGGAGATCGAGGATCTCAGCAAACTGATGAGGCTGGAAGCAGACTCTATGTCCCAGGAAGATCGACACGAGATGAGAATCACAGGGACCAGACAGCTCTAAATTGTTGTAAAACTTCCTCACCACATGCGGGTAGTAACTGGTGCTTCCTCGACTCCGGAGATCAAAGAAATTTTCCCAGCCAAGATTTTTTATTAACTTCTTCACTTCTTGAGGGAAAGGACTTAGGTGGATGAACTCGTACTCGGCCACAATTGTTGTCTTGCTTGTAAATGAAAGATAGTCACCGAGACTTGCGGTGGATCGGCAGTCTTCGTTTGATAGAGATAGTATCCCCATTTCCGCAAACGATTTACCTTTGTTTGCCATGGAGTCTGGAGGAGAGGAAGAAGGAATAAGGGAAGGTGAAGATGGAGGAAAGAGAGAATGTAGGTGTAAGAAAAAGTGATCGTGGGGGTTGAGTGTGGAGACGTGAGTGTGATGGAGACGGTTGAGTCTGGAATGTCAAGAGTTAGAAGATTTCGGAAGATATGTAGTAATGTTGATGTTAACTCGTGTACGTTAAACTAGGGTAAGTAAAGCTAGTTAAACTAGGGTTGGCGCACGAATTGATACGGCAGGAGAAAACAAATGGGCTCGCACGTTCCAGGCCCACTTTTGAATATTCCATGGGTCATGTACAAGCCCAGGTTTGAATGTTATTTAAAAGCCTGCAAAAATCAATGATCAGACCAGTCCAACTAGAATTACTCCTAAACGCACCGTTAATACATAAACACAAACTAAGGAGACCTCTCCATCCGATTCTAATCAAATTATGTGTTCTTCATCTTCTTCCTCAATCCTCTGGGCGAGACGAACACTACATATCAAGAAACCTAAATTTCACCGAGAGATATAAGGTTCGAGAAAATCACAATAACGCTAAGACAAGATGACAAAGCACTAGCGACATGAACCCTAGGGTTAGCAAACCTCTTTCAAGGGTTCTTTTGCAAATGAAAAGTTTGATGAACACAATAATAGACATGGTCGCCGTAATTGTGTTAGAAAGAGATAGGCGAGGGGAAATAAAATGGCGAAGAAGAAACAAGACAAAATAAATTGGGAAATTCAATCTACGTCGAATGTGGATGCAAGTAATTGGGATTCAAAAAGATGATTAAGTTGGGGAGTTCAAATTAGATGGGGAGCTTCTCTTGGAACTGTGAAGGGGCGTCCCTCCAAGACGAGAGAGGGATCGTGTAATTGGTTAGGGAGACTGGAAATTGGTTAGGGCGGCAGTGGGTCTACCCAATTGGGTTTGCAGTCTTAATCCATTTAATTTAATCGGGCCAGTTAGTTGGACTAGGATGAAAAAAAACTTAACGCGGCAGGAGCCTTTTTGTAATTTGTTTAGTTATTTAGTGGCGCAGGATGGTTTAACAAACGTGAGCCGTGGAGATTGAAAACGAATGGTTAAGATCGGCCAAGGTACCCGTACCCGGATTTTGCTCTGGGCACCGTAGAAGTCACCATATATATATATATATATATATATATATATATATATATTGTATATGTAGATCAACAATTGCGTAGTGACAAATATGCATTTAACTTGCTTGAAGATTGATGAATGGTTGTTTTTTAGTGATGTAATGTGTTGTATTCTGCTGGAGTATGCTGCTGGAGTCTTCTGATTTATTTCTGGAAATCTGTTGTGATTTTGTTATTATTTTGTTGATGGACCTATCTACTGGAAATCTGCATGTATGCTGGAATTTTGCTGCTGCAAGCTGTTGGGATAATCTAGAATCATCTGGGATTTACTGAAGTTTTGCAGGAATTTTTTGAAATTTTGCTGCTAGATTTTTTGCTGCTGGAAGAAGTTTGATTATCTGCTAGAATCAATTAGGATTTACCAGAGTTCTGCTGGGATTTTTTGGAATTTTGATCCTGGAATTTTGCTATTGGAAATCTTAATATCTGCAGAAATTTTGTTGCTGCAAGTTACTGGAAACTTTTTGGAATTTTTTTGGGAACCACTGGATTTTTTTGGATTTTTGTGTTGGAATTGTTTCTATAATTTCTAAATTCTACACTTTGAACATGGTTTAAATGTTAAAGTTGGGGTTATGTTAATTAACATATTGAGTAATTTGTTTAATTTTGTTATGGAATTATTTGGTTTGATGAACTAAGAAGGGAAGAAAGAAGAGTTGGGATCTGGGCGGGTATCCGTGGTCTTTCGGGTAATACCCGTTCGGGCATGGGCATGGTCATGGATTTACTATCCATCCTCCTATTTAGAGCGGGTTCCGATTTTCACAAATAACTTCTCGGCCGGGTATTGGATACCCACTATCCGTGCCCGCCCAGACCCATTGCCAACCCTAATTACCGGTTGGTATCACGATTCAAACACACATGTCTATACTTTGGCACTGGCTAATTCTCCACGCCGATCACTCTCTTAATGTGCGTTGGACCCTCCTTTTTTGGCGCCTCTGGAAGGTCTGTGATAATGTTGTTTTCCTTCCTCATGCCCAGTTTACGATCCCTATCCTTCACCGGCAGTTGCTATCACATTTTGCGGGTCATCATATTGCCACCACCGACCCGCCAGCCTCACGTTCCCTTACTCCCAACATATCGGATCACGGTCGATCATCTACTCTTGGGTTTCAAATATCGATGGATGGTGCAACTAATTCGCCGACGTATGATGCCATTGGCTTGGTGGGTTTTGCTGCTGATGGGGTCTCGCCGCTGTTTGCTTTTGGTCGGGTATTTTTTGGGTTACACGACCCCAACTTATGTAGATTTTGGTAATCCGGGAAACTCTTCACCTTTCGTTGGCAATGGCATAACGGCCGGTTACATATCTCCAGCGACGCTGCAAATGTGGTGAGGCAACTGGTGGATGGTGACAATAATGATGCCCTCTCTAGGGCCCTTCTACGGGAAGTGTCGTCGCTTCTTTCTCATTTCCTATGTGTGAATTTGGTTTACGAACCTCGAGAAGCGAATCAGACTGCCCATTGTGTGGCACATACGACCTTACGCTATCCTGGTTTACCTGCTTACATGTTTGATTTCTCTTATTTGGTATGTCTTTGAGTCCGTGATGTGTCCATAATGTATGTGGCTACATTCACGTTTATCTGGTTAATCCGCAAGGGTTACTCTGGAAAAAAAAACTCTGCTTTCGTCCAACAAATTGAGAAAGCCTCCCCTCCAATTCAGCGCGGCCTCTGGTCCCAGACGGACAAGGAAGATGAGCCCGGGCCCAGTGGTTCTGTGGCTGCGCAATAAGGTTGTGACAGTTGACTAGAACTTGTTGGTTTGTATTGATTATTGGTTCGACTCGTTTTTAGCATGTCTATGGAAGTTTCTGTTGTGCCTGTGCATTTTAGTTCTACCTGTGCAAATCTTTTTTCTGTAAAAGTGGCACTAAAAATGGTAAAAACACACCACACACTTGGTAATGACACAAAGGCCATTCCATGGTTAATTCAAACCAAATCCAAGCATTTTCACCACAAAACATACACTGCAATCATTAATGTCAATCCAATGTATATGTGCGTCTCTCATCAACCACCACAGAGCCCAAGAGCACATAGGAGTTAGCATCCGGGCGCTTCAACATTCCAAAAGAGTGAGTGGATACAAGTGATCATGACCTTCCTCGAGGCTGGTTCTGCATCAAAGTTAATTATCAACCATAAATTGGAGGAAGAGAAGCTCAACATTGTAGAGACTGAAGGGAAGGAAGTCTCGACCTTCCTTCTCAAGACTTCATCATCAAACAAGAAGAGATGATAAAGAGGTTGGAGAAGAAGAGAGATCTTGAACAAATTTATTCAAGACTCATTCAAGACCCCTTATTCATCATCAACAAGAAGAAAGGGGAAGTAGAAGAGGAGTAAGAGGTACTCGAGAAGGTGGACAAATAAGTTGACCTCATTGATCCACCAATAGAGGAACTTTCTTGGAGGAACATCAATGCTCACATTCAACAAGAATAAATGGATAGAGAAGGGAACATTCACGAGGTCTTAGAGGAAGAAAAAGTGAAAAAGGGGAAGTTCTCTTGGTGGATGCAATCATTATTAATCAGTATATTACATGGTTTGGGTCAAAAAAGAAAAAAGAAGGAAAGAAGAGGTATCGATGGTAGAACCTCGAGATCAATCAAGTCCACGAGCCATCAATCATAATCGTACCAAATTCTCGGGGCTTGAGACATCACATCACCGATGAGAATCTCAATTTCAAAGAGGTCTTGAGATGGATCGAACTTTGAACACCATAGCTTATGACAGTAATGAAGCTTTTGTTAGGAGGAAACCCAACCTTAGTTTTTCTTCTTTTTTCCTTTCACTTAATGTTTTCTAGCTTAGTAGTAAATAGATATCTCGTGGATGTGTGCTTCTCTTAATGTGTGATCTAACCACTTCCATGAGCCTAAAACGAACCTTCATCCGTCTTTCTTCACCTTTTTAACCTACCTTGTCTTATGCACATGGGGACAATCTTTGATTTAAGCATCGTGTTGTTTAGTATACTTGTTTACAAATGCTTGAACGTATCCATATGCTTAAATTTGTTAATTGTGAATGGATATCATGTTTTGCTTGCCTAGTGTTGTGATGTTGAATGATGATTATTGCTTGGGGCCTTGTATGTACACCCAAAATTTTTAAATTTTGTGGGCTCCAAACAACCTTTTGGAACCCTATATAATAAAAAGCGACTACGCTCTATGGATCATAACATTCATTCTAGACTTTAGTGATCTCATGTATCAAACATCTATCTCATAAGGACAGGAAAGGTTGCGCATTCCACTCATAAAAGCATAAGATAAAAGATTTATAAAGTCTTAGGGTATGAGGATAAGAAGCAAATATAGCACTAAATCAATTTCAAATGGCAAGTGATGACGATTATTGCATGCAAACACTTAAGAAATGGAAGGATAAATAACAACAATTTGAGTGTTATCAAATTTCCCCACACTTCAACTGTGCAACTCTACCCTTCCTAACCATTATCATGCAATGTAAATCATCAGGATTCAATTTTATCAACTTCCTAGCAACTTTCGATGCGTCGAGTTTCCATTTGGTGAGTCTAATTCAGTCAGGAATTCCCAAGGCCAATGCATTTAAGTGATGGTAGATATGTGTATGGTGCACAAGTCAATTATCGATACGAGTTGACCGAATGAATGCTCTCTACGATTCTTTTCTCACTTTGCCATCAACTTTTAATCTCTTTAGAGATTTTACTTTGGGGTTGTAGTATTTTGAAAACTTTGTTTATGTTTATGATGGGGAAAGTAGGAGTGCTAATTTTTTGTGCTCTTTCCTCCTACATATACATCAGCCCATGTGGAGGGGCTACAAGACCAACCTTCGAATGATAGTGAGTAGAAACTAAGTGGGGTCCCCCTAGTGAATCACACTCTAACTGGCGACCGATCGAGATTAGTCACTTTTTGCAGTCTAATACTTGGGATTTTTATTTGAAAACATCTAATCAACTCCTCACATGTAAACTTAAAAACTATAAACCACTTTATTTGATTGTAAAAATCTTAGTTGTGGGAAGGCACATAGTCGATCTTCATTAAATCAACCTAAACTTATGAATCAAAGTTTACAACCATACAAACCAACCTAAAATCACTAGTCATGCACAAACCTATAGACACATAACGGAATCAATCAATCCAAACTTCAAATCAATTCATCCATAGCGCTACACTCACCTCATCACCTAACACACAAGCAATCAAGCAAGGTAGATTCAAAGCAACGAAACATATTTTAAGCAAAGAGGTTGGTTGGAGCTCTCAAAATTTGAAAATTTTGGGTGTACATACTAGTAGGCTCTATAACAAACGTTCTGAGTTGGACATCTACTTAGGAGATGTTGATGATGCTATTAATGAGCAAGATGATTAGGGATGGCAACAAAACCCGAACTCACGGGTACCCACCCGGTCAACGCGGGTAAAATCCGTATTGACGGGTTTTGGGTGGGGTTTGGGTTTAAACCCGTTCACTATTCACCGGGTTGGGTTTGGGTTTAGGTAAACCCGACCCATGGGTACCCACCCACACCCATATAGTTAATTTTCTCGGTATATTTTTTCTTTCAAATTGTGTAGAATGAAGTTGATGTTATCGAGTGGAGAGTGAAGAAACTTAATTGAAACGAATAAGCTTTCAATTAATCATGTTATTTATGGGTAATTTGTGATTTGCTTCAACTTTCTTGAGTTTTCTAGATTGGTTTTGAACAATTTGTATGGTTAATTTGTGATTTGCTTGAATTTTCTAGAATGGTGTTTTATATATGGATAATTTGTATTGAGAGATTAATATTTGACTTTAATTTTGATAGGAACTTGTTATTGCAAATTTCTTACGAAAAAACCCTGTGGGTACCCTTGAACCCACGGATACCCAGCGGATTGGGTTTGAGTTTTTTAAACCCAGTGGGTTTTACCCCGGTTTTTTCACAACCCGACCCATTGCCATCCCTAAAGATGATGATAGGAAGTTTGACAAATTATTGTGGAGTAAGAAAAATCTTAGATATCCCATTCTTTTAAAGATGGTTAAGGATATCCTAGTTGTTCCAATCTCCTGTGTTGCCTCAAAGGTCTTTTTCAGTTTGGGAGGTCAAGTGCTTAGTCTGTTTAGATCTTCATTGAATCCCATCATTGTAGAGGTCTTAATTTCTGATGAAGATTGGATAAGATATTAAAGTGATAAGAATATATACAAATTTGATGATAAATAAGATCAGACCAACTTGATTATGAAAGTGGTAAGAGTTAACAATTCTTATTCGCTTTTAACTGTTCAATTATTCATTTTTCAAATAGATGAATTTTAACAATGATTCGAGCGCATTTATACATGTTTTACCCCTTCATATCTTGATTGTTTAACTTTGTAATCATCGTTCCTCGACCTATTCGACGCTATGTTGAGCTTCTTTTTCACATTTTAGGTCTTAGTAGGTGTGGAAAGTTCGTGACGAGTTTCGAGAAATTTGGTGGTCAAAACGAGCCAAAAAATGGAGTCGGTGCAAGGTTAGTGGGATAGTTGTTAGGATCACGCCCGTGACTCGCACGAAACTACACCACACTAACACCCCAATTAGAGCCCAAGTTTTTAAACTCTAATCGGGTGTAGTATATGGCAAGTATTTAGATATTGACCTGGGTCGGTCCTTCTATCCCTACTTCCGTTGTTGAAATAATTATCTAGAAACTAAACTTTGGTTTAAAAGGTTTGCTAATTGAAATAAAAGAAAGCAAAGGTGATTGGGTTTGAAAACTCTTTTGTGGGGAAGTCACTCGGGTGTCGCTTCCCCCTAACCGCTACCATGCTATGTGGATTGGAACGATTGCCTTGGGCACGCTAATCGTGAACCGCAGAGGAATGTATATGTGGTCGGAGACCACAGTCTCAATTGCTAAACCGATGTGAGGATGAAAGGCCGTGTCACTCGACCCTCTCGGTTTAGACAATCGGTAATTGACTTACTCCCTCACTCAACTCTAAGGTCAGACGGTTTAATCACGATTAATGGACTTGTTTAAATCAATATTGAGAGTTTCCCTAACTCAACCTAATTTAGGTGGCTTAGAAAGCGGAAGGAAAACTAACTCGGTTGAGTCTCCCTTGAAAGGGGAATTTTCCTCTCTAAACTAGGCTAAGGTGGCAAATGAGATTTCTAGCACCTAAATGCACAAACTTAGGGGTGCTAAGCACAATTATGCACAATCCCTAGGTTGATAAGCACCTAAATGCACAAACATAAGGATGCTAAGCACAATATATGCAAAACCCCTAAGTTGCTAAGCACAAACATGCACAATCATGGTGAATAATGCCTCAATCATTGAATTGAACAATACCCAATGACAATCATCCAAAACACATACAAGACTACATGGTAGAGTTAGGGTTTCACTACACCCAAGGGAAAGGAGGTCTACTCCATGCTAGAAGTGGGAAGAACAAAAGGGAAAAAGGTGGAAACCATCTTTGAGGAGGCTCCCTCTCTTCTTGACCCTTGAGTTGAGCTTTCCTTGGGGGAAATCTTCCCAAAATCTGCCTTGAAGCCAAACCCTAACCTTCTTCTTCCCTTTGGTTCTGTTTCTCTCACTAGATTGCTGAAGAAGGCGTTTCACACAAAAGTGGACCCTCCCCTCTCTCCTCCTTTCAACTCATCTTTTAAACCCGAGAAGAGCCGAGTTCACGGCCGTGAACTATCAACCGCATCCGTGAACTCAAGGCATGTGCCAAAACGCTCCGCTCGCTCACGTCTATTCATGGTCAACTGCCTGTGTTCACGGTCTTAGTGACCGTGAACTCACCTCGAGTCAGTAACCTTCACATTGGCTCTGGACGCCTCGCGATTCAAGGTCAACTCCCCTTCTTCACGGTCTTGTATGACCTTGAACGCCTTCAGTTAGCCGTGAACTGGCTCTTTTTCACCTCTTCTCCCGGTTTTCGATCCTTTTCGCCAATCTTTCGACTCCAAGGATAGTTTCACCTGTTAAATCCTGAAACACACTCAAACAGGAAGAACCTAGCGTAAAACCAACCTTTAAGGAGCGAATTTGGCACAAACATCTAAGTAAAACGGGTGCAGAACATGTGCAATTAGTCCCGAATCACCCCGAGGGAGTTAAAATCTCTCCCAAACCGTGAAGATAACAAATTTCCAGCAGCTTATGTTCATCTCGCAGGCTATGCACATTTCACTGCCCGAGGGTGTGAAAATAACACCAAAATTGTAAAGTGTGCACAATACGGTGCGTTTTATGGTGAGATCACTGTTTGCACACTTCATGGTTGTGAAGTTAACACCAAAAACATGATCCTTGCACTACTACGAGTATAAATTGACAACAGCGGGTTCTGAGCAAGGGGAGCTGAGTTTTTTACCCCAAAACGCCCAAGGGGCGATTCTACACACACACACACACACACACACACAGAGAGAGAGAGAGAGAGAGAGAGAGAGAGAGAGAGAGAGACTTAGGAGGGTTCTAGGAGCTATTTTGGAGGATCAAATCACCATTGAAACTTGAAGAACATCCACTAGAAGATGAATATTGAATATTCTAAGCTTATACTGCATTCTCTCTCCTCTTATTTATGAATTAGCTTTCCTTCACTTAGGTTGATGAACCCTAGTTCTAGATTTTTGGTTGTTTGTTGATGCTTGTGACAAACCTATGATTGTGCTTCTTGATTTCATCCCTCAATTTGGGGCTTTTCGACCTATGAGGGAGAATCTTCTTATGCCATTTGGTATCCATCCATTCAATTTGGGCGGGTTTAGATATTAACCAAATTCTCGATGGGCGGGTATTGAACAATTACATCTGCCCCTAATTGACTCGTTGTTAACACTAGTATTTAGGGTTGCTAACGAGCCGAGCCAAGTCAAGTTTTTGCATAGCTTGAGCTCGGCTCTTTATAAAATTTTCAGCTCGAGCTTGCCTCAAACTCGAATTTTGACAATCCAGCTCAAGCTCATGCTCGACTTGAATGAAAATAATCTAGTCAGAGCTCCGTATAGGCTCGTTAACACATCTTGTCAAGCTGAGTACAAGCTTGGATCAAGATGAGCTCGATTTGAAATCATTCTGGCTAAAAAATTTGTAAACATAAGAATTTAAATGATAAAAAGAATACTAGAAACTAAAAATAACAGCTACCTTCCATACAAATCCGTATTAACAAGATAATATTTATTTTCAGAACAATAATTAATCCTCCACAAGCTCTAAACAAGCCATCTTGCAAGTTTAGCTTAACAAGCCACCGAGTCAAGCTAGCTTATGAGCTCATCAAGCTGAGCATGGTCAAGCTCATACTTGACTCGTTTACTAACGAGTCGGCTCACAAATTGGCTTGTTAAATGATGAGTCGAGTGTCACACAATTTTTTCCGATTCAAACATTGAGTTGCTTACAAGCGGCTTGGTTCATTTGCAGCCCTACCAGGACGAGAAGTAGGAGGAAGTGGTGTGGAGGACTAAAAAGGGAAAAGTGTTAGGTTGTCAACCCGGTTTAGCCCATTGGCCTGGTCGAGCAAGTTGGTTGTTGGTAATTGGTCCGGCTGTTTTAGCCAGTCTTAGCTCGAATAAATGAAAAATGCATTATATTGTTCATATATTTATAAATTATATAAAATCTCATCTAACATATGACTAATATAACATATAAAACTACACCAAAACAACAAGTCGTACTTGGATCCAACATATAGTGAAAATTCGTACACTTATACTCACTTATACAACAATAATATTCAAATGTTCAACTTAGTATTCATAAGATAGAGTTAGGCGAATAGAAAACCCGAAAAATAGGGGCATTTCGCAAACCAAATGAAAATATGACAATGTGCGACCTCCAATCTGGCAACCTTGGAACGGTCGACTTGGCAGGTATGTGCGGCCCGTTTTTATCAACGGGTGTGGGTCAAAATGGGTTAACCGACAAGTCGACACCTTGGAAAAGTGTGAAAAGGAAAAAATGGTATAATGCCATGTTTGGTCACTAGGTTTACTAAACTGTGTCATGTATAGTCACTAGAAAAAATTAATATTAATAATGGTCACTAAATTTAGTAGAACATGTAATGTTTGGTCACTCCCAATTAGTCTCCATCCAACTTCGTTAATAGAGTCCGTTAAGTGCCGATGTGGCAAATGAATCGCATAATCAATCGAATTTAACCCAAAAAGGTAAAGCCCGACCTGCCACGTCATTAGAACTACCACAACCCCATGACCCAACCCTTTCTCTTCTTCTCTAGAGAAGAATAGAAAGGGTTGGGTCATGAGTTAGGGTAGTTTTAATGACATGGCGAGTCAATTTTTTTTTTTTGTTAAATCCAACGGACTAGGTGATTTTGTTTGCCACGTCAGCACTTAACAAACTCTAACAATGGAGTGGACGAAGACTAAAGAAGGATGACCAAACATGACTTGTTTTAGTAAACTTAGTGATCATTATTGATATAAATTTTTTATAATGACTAAACATGACACATTTTAGTAAATTCAATGACCAAATCTGATATTAATCCAAAGAAAAAATCGAAAAAATGAAATAGGATAGTATTGGAAAAAAGGGAAACGAAGAAGGACAATACCGTCAATTGCTACTCCCCGAAGGAGCAAGCTTAGAAAACCCTAGTATAATTAAGGGTTCGATAGCTCTGAGTTCGAGTCGTTCACTCTACGCACAGCGGCGGAAGCAAATCGTTCTTCTCCAGCCATCTCGAAGAAGCTCTCCAATGGTGTGTCTCTCATTTCGCTTTTCTCTTCCTTTCTGTTTCTATCTTCTAACGTTGCTATGTAGCTATGACTTAACTTCTAAATCCTCGGTGCAATGCTCGAACGCAGGCGTCAGAGAGGAAGCTCAGTAACCCTATGAGGGAAATTAAGGTTCAGAAGTTGGTCCTCAATATCTCCGTCGGCGAGAGTGGCGATCGTCTCACCAGAGCCGCCAAGGTTTCGTCTTCCTCTTCCGCTTGTTTTTTCTTGGATTCGTCCCTTTCAGTTTTGGTGATGGTTCTGTGTTCTTGGTTTCCTTGCTTACAGGTGCTGGAACAGCTAAGTGGACAAACCCCTGTTTACTCCAAAGGTGCTTCTTTCTGTATTTTTCTTTTCTGATGCTTGTTATTGGGTTGAATGTGATGGTCATTGGAACTGGATCTGTGTTTATTATTTAGGAGTGAAGGTATTCTAGTAGTGCGCTCGTAATTGATTTGATTAATTGGGTTATCCTAAGTAGGCTTTACAATGGGTAGTCGGAGCTATGAAATGGGTCATAAAATGCTTGTAGATTATTGTTAATATTATGTGCACTTATGTTGTTCATGTATGAGCAGAGCCTCCATTCGCTTGGTGATTAAGGTTCAGAGGATAGTGGTCTCTATTGGTTATAATTTTAGGCATTCATAACTCTGAAAGTATTTGGCTGGACGTTTTTGTAGACGATTTGGGATTTTTGTTTCTGCCATTGGAGTTAACTTTATGCTCTTGTGATCAATAGCAAGGTACACTGTTAGGTCCTTCGGTATCAGGCGTAATGAGAAGATTGCCTGCTATGTCACTGTGAGAGGGGACAAGGCGATGCAACTATTGGAGAGTGGACTGAAAGTCAAGGAATATGAATTGCTGCGAAGAAACTTCAGTGATACTGGCTGCTTTGGGTTTGGTATTCAGGAGCACATTGATCTTGGTATCAAGTAAGTACTTTTACCCAAATTGAGTGCTTGCACTTTTTCCTTGTGCATTGATGTTTGTTGTTTTCCCGAAGCTGCAAGTTTCATGGTTTTGGATTGTGGTTTTATGCAAATGTTCTAGTTCGATAAGTATCAGATGGGTGTTGAGATAGTATGATGAAATTGATAGACCTCACTAAGAGGGACCAGTAGACACATTTATCTTGAAATATTACTGTCTTGCTGTTCCAGTGTGTCTGCTACTAGTAGCAAATGTATTCTGCCCGTATTCTGTTTGTTCATCGATATGTTACATATCAATGCAGTCGTATTAGTTAATCTCCGCAAAAGTTATCTATTTTTTGGATGGATTGTTTTATCAATACAATAATTGATTCTTCAAAGAACGTTCCCTGGCATGGACCGGAGTCACTACCATTGCTGTGTGCAGTTAGTGGTGTTCATTACTTCATTCTATGTTAGGAGCCTAATGCTCATACTGCTTGTTTATCAGGTATGATCCCTCCACTGGTATCTATGGTATGGACTTCTATGTTGTCCTAGAGCGAGCGGGCTACCGTGTTGCCAGGCGCCGTAGATGCAAGACACGTGTTGGTATCCAGCACCGAGTCACAAAGGATGATGCAATGAAATGGTTCCAGGTCAAATACGAGGGTGTCATCCTTAACAAGGCTCAGAATATTACTGGTTGAGTGAAAAATACTAGATGATAGCGAAGTGGAAGAAGCTTTTTCCAGATTTTGGGGGATTCTGTTAGCTGTATTAAAAGTTGGCTCAGAAGTTTTAATATGCAGCGTTTTATGGTTCTTACTGTGTTTGAGGACATGGTTGAGCTGTCCCTGTTTTGATTCAAGTGAACGAAACCAGTGTTATATTAGTTGGTTACCAGCTTTTATTGGTGTTTCCTGGGCGTTCCTCTAAATTTGCCACATGAAAGTAGTCGCATTCCGTCGAGTTTAACTTCAATTTCTCCTGTGACTTGTCAGTTGGCTTGATTAGATTGCTTGTTAGTGATTCAACAGTGATGACTCTTGTATGGAGCTAATCACGAATTTACAACTCTACAATTTGGATTAAATCGATTAAGGGGTCGTTTGGAAGTCGTGATTGTTATATCTCAACTTTTAGTTGTGATTTTTGAGATAGTTGAGTTGAGATGTATTGTCATTATACATGTATTGTTTACAATGCATCGTTTTTTTTTTGTTTTTTTAGCAGAAACAATACATGGATATGTATTGTTTCTATGATGTGACAGAAACTATCACTCATTTTGAGTGATTGTTATATCTCAACTTTTAGTTGTGATTTTTGAGATAGTTGAGTTGAGATTGTTATGTCTTAGTTTTTAGCTTATGCAACATACACAATCACACATACCAAACGTTGTATTCTACAATGCATCAAATTCGACAATACATGTATAATATTATACATGCATTCTCAACAATACATCTATTTAACAATCGCAACTTCCAAACGACCCCTAAAAAATGAAATTAGATTGAGTGGGATATGAAATATCATATTGTTGGTGGGATGCAGATCCTAGGCATCTTGCTTGAATGAGTAAATCCTCTTATTAAAGAAATGTGGTAATATAGTCATTTTAATTTTTTTAAATGTATTATTTGTTTATATTATCTAAAAATTACTATAAGGCAATGTCAATATACCGCTTTTGCCACGTCAGACTTTGCTGAAATAGCCGCAAAGTTCGGAGGGTTGTTATTGTCAATTCAGAAACTCTCTCTTTCTTGCTGTCTGTCCTTCTCGACTGCGAAGTGCGAATATCTCTTTCCTTCTCTTCCCAACTCGAGTTGGAAATCGAGACTCCCACCAGCCTTTCCTCCGTCTCTCGTTGTCGACCTCACTGAACTTCTCTGATCGTCACTATGTTGTTGTCGTTTGCTCTATCTTGCAATCCGCTGGAAACAATCCTCACTCCTGAGCTCTCGCTATTTGTCTCTCGGCGGAATCTGTCTTTTCCCGTCTCTCTACCAACTCATCCCAGAAGAAAAGCCCTCTACCTCAATCCCCATGAAACAAAATCCCACTGCTCTCGCTCTATCGCTCGGCGCACTCTGTCTCTCTCGCCGTCTCTCTACCAAATCCTCCCAGAAGAAAAGCCCTCCTCCTTTATCCCCCGGAAAATTCCCCACTCCTCTCGCTCTCTCCGTCTGTCGCCCCGCGCAATTTGTCTTTCTCCCCGTCCCTCTACCAACCCCTCCTAGAAGAAAAGCCCTAAGCCTCGCACATTGCAGTCGAGTCGCCGAACAAATTTGTGGTCAGGATCTTTGAGTATTCTTCTTTGTAAGCTCTTTTAGGTAGGCAAGTTTTCTATTTTTGCTTTGTAGAGCCTGTGTGTGATGTCCCCTCTACCTTTTCTCTTCGAATGGGCAAGTTATGCAATTGCAACTCTGTTTCTAGGTTTGCCCCTCATGGATTATTACCATTTGTTAAGTTCCAATTGTGGAATGCAGTGGTGTTCTTAGACAACAATCCTTTCCCATATGTCTAATAGTTTTCCCTTTGTTGAATTGACATATTTGGTTTCTCAAGTTTGGTTCAGCACTGCCAAATCTATCTTCAGTTAGTCAGTCTGAATGTAGCTCTGTCTGCTAACAATGAAAATTACCCGAGAGGGTTCGCAACAAATTTATTGACAGTTTGCTGGTGTTTTTCTTTTTTCTACCCTGTTGATGTGTCGCCTCTTTGCATATCCATTTGGAAGATGATTATCTTTGATTCTCAAGTTTGGTTCATCACTGGCAAGGATTGATGACAAGGATTGCTGCATTTTCTAGATAATCTAATTGTTGTTGTTAGGAATGCAAACCTACTTTCAATGTTTAATGCATTGTTTAGATAATTTTATTGTTTGTGTTGGCTATCTTTCTTGCCCTTTTATGCATTGGTTATTTGCTTATCAATTTTGAGGATTGGAATTTGGTATAATTGAATCATCTCGATGAATCTTTTTAATCTATTTATTTGCTTATTCAATCTTGCACTTGGCTACCATCATTAGCTGCCTGTTTATATCGGGATGAAGAGACTCCAAACCATCACGTCTCCACTACACTTTACTCTAAACTGTAATCATAACCACACCAAGCAAGCAGCAAACTGCTGTATTATGCGTTGCCAAAACTCAACAACAAATTGGTTGGGAAAACTCGAAACAACTTCCCCTAGATTAGGCATCTCAAGTGCATCCCTTTTATCCATTATCCTGCAAACTAAGTCATTATTTTTAAGCACGAGAAGCATGCATTCCACTGTGACCAGTCCATCCATATTGAACCAATCAATGCCCCTGGAGTCCACACCTCCACTTCCAAATCCAATTTGCAAGAGACATTCTTTGACAATTGAGTGGACTTTCCCACAAGAGCAAGTTTGCTGGTAGAGACTTGTGATAAGGAACCTGTTTACTTCTATACACATAAATTCCATCACTATGCATGAGTCTTCTAAGTTTGAGTTAGGATAAATCATAAAAAAAGGACAAAGTCTTCAAACCCTTATAGCACTTCCAGTTTCCAAATGGCATTTTGGTTAGCACTACTGGATCGCTTGAAAATCATATTCCCGTACGGGAATATGGGAACAATTTATATTATGATTCAATCCACTAAACTTGCCACTAAGACCCTTGCCTAAACCAATGGATCTAGCTGCAATAATCTACACCAAACACCTGAACACATTTTATCTCCACACAAACTTTCCATTCTGCTACCACTTCATCAGTGTCGTCATCTCACTTCTATTCCGTTAGCCGGACAAACACTACTAAAAAAATGTATGTTTTTATCAGGTGATAGTGCTCTTATCTATATTATATTTGGATTTGTTTTTTCAGCGAAATAGAATTTCATAAGTTAAAATTTGATTAAGCAGAATCATTGGCCACGGATTATGCTACTTTACCCTCCCTCTGTTCTTCAAATATAATAAAACAAAATTCACGTAAAGGTTCTGTAGGACACCCGGCCAACGGGCCGGGCCCAATGCTAGTATATATAACACTAGTCTTAGCCAATAGAAAAATTTCGTTTTTATAATTTTTTTATTTTCAAGTGTTGACTATAATTAATGAAAGAGGGACACGTTAGTAAATATAAAAAGTTGGCGTCCTATGAGTTTCGTGATTTCTTGCGCAAGTTCAATTCCTCATTTCTCTCAAAAGTCAGACTGAAAAGAACCATAGAGAGAAGCAGCGGAAAAGTTGAAATCGATAACCGAAGTGCCCAACGCGCTAGCTTCCTCATAAGGTGAAATCCGCCTCTTCCATCACCAGAACCCTACATCTCCTACTCTTGACCTTGTGGTTTGCATTTTGAATTGCTTCATAACCCAAAAACAATAAAGAAAAAACACCCCAAGGAGTTGTTCATGAAGCCGTCGGTGGTGCGAGAGATGACAATGAGATTTGTGATCCGCCTCTTCTTAACCTTAATATTTCTTTGTTCTTTTTTTCATCTATTCTAGCGTGGCCCATATGATTGTTAGCCTTATATTGCCTATGTTTGGCCCGACTTTTAGAAGTATTTTTGGCTTCAAAAGCTGAAGCAAGGTCAAACACCTATAAAAGCTTGGCTTTTGAAAGATCGAAAAGCACTTTTGTATAACATTAGAGCAACAACTCTGATTTGGAGTTTCTGCGAAAATTTATTTTGAAAATACAAGATTATTTTTGCCATATTTTAATTTTATTCAAAAAATATAATTTTTTTCATTTATATCATTTTAAAAATAAAATAAATAATAAAATCATATTATTTAATATAAAAGAAATCTAACAATCGAGACGGGGAATTCTTTTCGACCTAGTACCAAAATGCTCCTCTCTTTCCTTCCCTTTTCTCTATGAAAACTAGGGTTTCCGTCTTTCATTTCTTCGATGAAGGCCGTCGCTGACGGGTCCTCACCGGTAGCCGTTGGCGAAGGTCGGTCTTGGGCCTCTCTTTTTGGTGCAGCGGAGGATAACAAACTGGAGTACTTTGAGCCTGAGCTAGTCAATGGTTCGCTGCGAATCCCTAAATCTGTAATGGAGGAAGGGGCGAAGCAGGTTGAACCCACTCTAGTGGGTCAATTTCTACGTGCGCCGCCATCGATTGCTTCGATTCGTTCCTGGGCAAACTTGCTTTGGGTTCGGGATGGTGAGATACGTGTCTCTGAGTTTGATGATCGTCTTTTTCTTTTCCAGTTCCCATCCGAAGCTGTCTCGCGTTGGGTGTTTGAAGGCGGTCCCTGGCACTATCGGAATAATATGATCTGTTTACGGAAGTGGGTTCCAGGGATTCAGGCTCTTACGATTGACAACTCCGCCGTTCCTATCTGGGTTAAACTTTCGGGCTTACCAGCGGAATTGTCTTCGAAGGAGGGTCTTGGTCGGGTTGCTAGTCTAATTGGGAGTCTGCTCTGTATGGATCAACCAACGCGTTTCAGACAACGAGTGGGGATAGCAAAGGTTTGTGTTGAGCTCAATGCTAAGAAACCACAGGTCAATCGGATTAGTATCACCCCTGATGGCATGGATGAGATGTTCATTCAGGTAGAGTACTGTCACTTACCCTATTTGTCAATCCTGTGATGTTTTTGGTCATGATTGTACTGCTCCTTGTGGGGTGAATGTGAAGAAGGTTTGGAGGAAGAAAACAATTACCACTGTTCATTTAGCCAGTACTTCAAGGTCCTAGGAAGAAAATTTTCAGGTCATCGAACAAGTGACTGGATCTCCTCCAATCACTCCTAGTGCTTTGCCATCTCCGGAAGATTTTAATTTGGTGGTTAACGGAGTGAAACCATCTATTCAGGTGATATCAACTCCGGTCTCTCTGGCGAATTCTTTTGAGGCAATTTGTGCTAAGAATATTCAGTTGCAGAATCCCCCTCCGATTCGTTGGGAAGGATTGCGTAGTCAGAAAGGGGTCCTTAAGGCCCCCCTTCTGAAGATATGACTGTTTTAGTATGGAACACGAGGGGCTTCAACAGCTCCTCAAAGCACGATTTTGTGCTTCAGTATATACATAAGTATAAAGTACAAGTGTTAGCATTACAGGAAACTAGAGTGCAGCAGAGCAATGATAAGAAGATACAAGATAAATTTTCTGATTTTATGTTTGCCGATAACTACAATGCTCATTACCTTGGTAGAATTTGGATTGCGTGGCACAAGGATGTGAAGTCGAGGGTTCTACACTGCGACAGTTCTTTCATACATATGTTGGTTTCCATCACAGCAGCAGAGCAATTCTTCTTTACTGCAGTTTATGACTTTAATGAGGAAAATGATTGTTTGACTACTTACACCAGACCGAGGCAATGGCAAGTAAAAGGATTTCCATGGATGGTTTGTGGTGATTTTAACGCCATTCTAAGTCCACTGGAGTCTTCCAACGTTGTTTCTATGACATCTAGTATACACAATTTTCGTGTTTGTGTGGACTCAATGGAACTTATGGATCATCAGTACACAAGACCTTTATTTACTTGGTCCAACCAGCAACAAGCCAGACCTATAGCGAAGAAACTGCATCGAATGCTGGTTAATGAAGATTGGTTGACTACACTCCCAGATTCATTGGTAGAAATGTGGATGCAACATGAAAGTCGTTTCCCAAGAATTTTCGTTTTTATGAAATGTGGATGCAACATGAAACATATAATGATTTATTGGCTACTGTTTGGAATCATCCTGGACAAGGTTCTATTATTCAGTGAGTACTAAATAGATTGAAGAAGCTGAAGCTGGTGCTCAAATCTCTTAACCATGAGGAATTCTCAGACATATTGAGCCGGGTTAAGTAGTCTGAGAAGAATATGAAAGAGAAGCTGATAAATGCATTGCAAAATCCTTGTGATGAGTCATTTGAAGCTATGAAGCAATCTACAACTCTTTACTAGAGATACAAGTGTGCTGAAGAAATCTTTTACTAGAAAAAGTCTCAAATTAACTACTTAACTCTGGGGGATTTGAATTCTTCTTTCTTTCATAGAAGTGTCAAGGTGAGAAGAGCAAGAAAGCATATTCGACTTATTGTACTGGATTCAGGAGAAGTTGTGACTGATGTTGAATAGATTGCGCAGGAATCTGTCTCCTTTTATTAAGCACTCTATGGAAAGAAGAATGAAGAGATCACAGTGAAGTTGAGTTCAGTGTTGCCTCTCTTGCGATCTCACCTATAAGAAGCTGATCGTCTGTCTCTTTGTCGAGAGATTTCTGCTAGTGAAATTAAAGATGCTTTATTCTCTATGGATGCTCACAAGGCATCTGGTCCGGATGGTTGCCAGCTAATTTCTTTCAGCACAGTTGGGGGCCCCTTGGTCCAGATATTACTGAGGGAATCAAGGAATTCTTTCGCTCACGAAAATTGCCAAAAGGTATTAACTCTGCTTCCCTAACTTTGGCTCCCAAAGTACCTAATGCAGATAGATGACTAGCTTTCCTCCCTATTGCCTGCATCAACATTATTTACAAAATCATTGCAAAGGTTTTATCCAATAGGTTGCAGCAAGTATTTCCTAGTGTCATAAGTATGAAAAAATCTACGTTTATCAAAGGGCGTAGTATCCTAGATAATATACTTATGGCTCAAGAAATGGTACAAGGATACTCTAAGCGCAATCTCTCATCTAGAGTTGTTGTTAAGATTGATTTGCATAAAGCATTCGATTCTGTTGATTGGGACTATCTATTCTGTGTGATGGAGGGGATGCGATTTTCTCCAATTATCTTCAATGGATAAAAGCTTGCCTCTCTTCTGCCTACTTCAGTGTGACTATCTATGGCTCGCTTTTTGGTTTCTTTGCTGCTAAAAAGGGTGTTAGACAGGGAGATCCATTGTCTCCTTATCTGTTCACCATTGCTCTTGAACCTCTATCATGTATGCTTGATGTTGCATCTTCCTCTAGCTCTATCACTTATCATCCTCAATGCAAAGCCGTAAAATTGACCCATCTCAGCTTCGCAAATGATTTATTAATTCTTACGGAGGGTTCAACTGCTGCACTCTTGAAGGTAAAACAGATTCTTTCTGATTATTCAAAACTTTCAGGATTGAGATGTAATCCTAATAAGTGTGAGGTCTTCTTTAGTAGGCATGTTGTTCTTTATAAGGACAATGCGCTTGCACTTACTGGATTAAGGACGGTACCCTCCCTGTACGTTAATTGGGACTGCCTCTGTTTGTTGGTAGCTTAACAAGTAGAGAGTGTGACCTCCTGGTAGATAAGATCACTAGTAAATTACGTTCTTGGCGTGCCAATAAGCTTTCTTATGTGGGTCGCCTCTAACTTATCTCTTCAATGATCTACTCTATTATTCAGTTTTGGATGTCTATTCTATTATTACCAATGAAAGTGCTTGATAGAATTCATAAACTGTGCTCTGACTTCTTATGGCATGGGGATAAAACTGGAAGAGCTAAGGTGGTTTGGGATATAGTTGCAACACCAAAACGAGAGGGTGGCTTGGGCCTCAAGGATCTTTATACTTGGAATGTGGCTTGTCTGGCTCGTCTTTTTTGGATGTTGTTTATGCGAGGAGAAAGATTTTGGGTTGCTTGGATAATTCACTTCAGGCTCAAAGGAATACTTCTCTGGTCTATCCATGAAACATCTTCTGGTTCATGGATCTGGCTTCAAGTGTTGAAGCATCGTAGTTGGTTCAGATTTAGACTTGCAGTGGATCAAAATGGGGTTGTGACATGGGAGGGAAAGGCTGTGTAGTGGTTTTCCTTAGGCAGAGTATGGGAGTCAATCATAACTCATCATTCAACTGTACCATGGTGGCAACTCATTTGGAGTTGTTATGTTATACCTGGCACAGAATTATTGTTTGGTTGATCATTCTTGACAGTATTGCAACTAAAGCTAAGCTTCAGGCATGGGGGAAAATTGCAGATGATGTTTGTGTGCTTTGCAATGCTGCAGATGAAACTCGAGAGCATCTCTTCTATCATTGTTTGTATACTCGCAGCCTTTTTTCTGCTGTCTCTAGAGGATTGGTAAATACTTTGGCATGCACCTAGGAAAGCAGACTTCGAGAAGCCAGTTCTCTGGCGCAATCTGGGGGAGTTAAAGGGCGAGTTGCGAGCGCTATTTGGTGCTGGGTTATGTACTTAATATGGAAAGAACGTTGTGGCAGATTTTTTGGTGACCCTCGACTTGACTGGCAGGTGCTACTTTGGCAATTGTGTGAGGAAATTCTGCTTGTAGCTATGGGTAATAGAGCTTTTTGTACTGATCTTACTAGTGTTAGTGATTTTTTGTCACTGTTATGAGAAACCGGACTGTGGTTCTCTCTGTTGACAAACTCTGTTTGTCTTGTTTTTCAGATGCTTGATCTTCTGATCAAGAGAGCTTCAATAAAACTTCCAACTTACCGGAAAAAATCTAACAAGATCCATTTTGACTACTTTTTACTGTTTAGAATTTTTATTCAGAGTTTAGATTATAGGTCTTTTATAGTTATTTGACACAACCACAAGTCCATAAATCATACCACAAGTTTATTAAAACACACCACAAATACAACGAAGCATACCAAAAAATTCGGACAAGCTAAAAAATCCAAAAACCACACTACAACTCTTATAAAGCACACCACAACAACTAAATATGCTAAAGTAGTAGGCCAGAACTAAGGACCGAAACAAAGATTAGATTTATAGGGATTTTGACCAAGAATGAAACAACAAAGAAGGGAAAACGAAGATCAAGATCACTTGATCTGATTTTCGACAAAGGCCTCATCCAAATAAAACTCTAAGTGGGCTGAAAATGAAAAGGCCCAAAACTAAAGGCAGAGAAATAAGGCCGATTCAAGGGTGCCGCTATTAAAAGGGCATCACCGGTGCAAACACTTTCTATTGGGCCACGTCATGGTACATGTGGCAGATTGGGTTTTTAAAAACTAAGTTGAAGAACAAAAAATCCAAACCTTCAGCCGGTTGGTTAAATTCTTTCCAGCAGGACCTGGGAAATCTTTTTATGCATTTTGTGTTATTTCTTTTTTTGCACAAAAACTTTTATTGTTTTGTTTCTGTGGATAAAATAAAATAGGAGAAAAATAGAATACATAAAGCAGCACAACCTTCCCATTGGCTGTTGGCCCTCCTTCTCCATCGAATTGCATCGCTGCCGTCGACCATCCATTCTCGTCGTCGTCCCCGTCACTCCCAGCCCAAGAAAGAATCAATCATCCTCCTGACCTCCTCGACCCTCTTTCTTCGTCGAAGTGTTGTACCACCGCCGAATACTCATTATCCCACTCCCAAACATCATAAAATTGTCATTCGTTACTGTTATCCTCCTCGACCTCCAACCATGAATCGATCCGTCATCACCCTCGACCCTTTGTCTTCTTGAAAATGTTAAGCTGCCACCGGATCCACATTACCATGACAAAACAGCAGAAAATTATCTTTCTTTTTCGTCGTCCTCGTAAAAATAAATTGATGTAAAAGAAGAATGAGATCACATTATCTATGTGGGGCAAGATTCGGGTAGGGTTTCCCAAATTAGCTCCCTACTTCCATCAGCGAAGTTCACTCTAGCAATTCAAGTGAAGTGCTTAATTACCTGAAATGTTGTACTACTAGGATTTAGTCATGAAATTATACTCTAGCCTAGCCATTACACACTATTTCTGGTTCTCAGTCTGCCTGGATTACTCATTCCCCGTCTCGCCAATTCAAATTGGCCTTTACACACTATTTCTTTCTTACTTTTTGTCGACTGTTGAGGCAATGTAAATCTATGTATAAAAGCTTTTGGTAAAGATACATGAATGAAAGGCACACAATAAAAAAAAAATTCAACTCCCCAATTCTTTCAGCACTTATCGTTATTTTGCCCCTTAATTTTTCTTTTGAAGCAAGTATTTTTGTTGTCATCAAAAGTACTGCTACTAGCCAATACCAATATCACTCCCGAATTCCTTTTTCACAAGCTGCCATCTTGAACTCTAGCCATTGCCTTCTTGCTGCTTCTGCAAAAGACTTGCTTTGTGCTCGTCTAGGCGAGCTCCGCGAACGTGATCATCCCATTATGATAGACTAATGAATTCATCATACCAGCAGCAACAATAACGGAGAGTGGTGGGAATCTCTCACCAATGGCGAAGTAGAATTGGTGAGGTAAAATGAATTGCTTCTTCGTATTACGTACAGAAGAATAGAACATTCACATTCTTCTTTGCTTTCAAATAACTATACAAGAACAGATATCAAGTTAGTTTGACTAAAAAATTTGCCCGTTCGTTCATAAAGTAGTACTCAACTAAGGACCTAATTGCCCAAAATGAGATTGAATGTTAAAAAAATAGCACAGAAGAGTCAAGAAGAATGTGGTCTCTATTTCCCATTTTTGTATCTTCGATGAGACCAGAATCAACTATTAAGGACCATCCTTTTGAGATATCAAATTCAACACCGAGTCAAACAAGATCTTTGCACATCAAATCGGCAAAAATGCACACCTTTCATGCTTATCTAACTACTGCATCTACATTCTGAATCTACAGGTAAAATAATGGCCAATACCATATTGCGTTCAAATCTGCTTGGTGTAGTGTAGCTTCTGACGAACACCATTTGACAAAGCTTCTAAGTTCTAAGTAGAAATCAGGATCAGACTTCCTCTTAGTCTTTCATGATAAATAACCACCAAAATTTGAGAAAGCTTTATAGTCTTCTTCTTGCCCATTTTATAGCAGTCAAATCATTCAATTCAATCACCATAATTCTATTCCTTTTAACAAGCAGTACGACCAGCTCAGTATTCACTATTGTGTTCTACTTTATGTGATTAGCACTGTAATAGAAACAACAAAAATACTAATTATACCAGTTGTGCAGGATCAGAAGGTCCACGATAGGTATGCTGAGATACATAACTTCTCCTCAATCATGTTGCACCCAACAAGAGGAATTCATGAACTTAAAACTGGTGGTGAGTTAGTCGATAAAGGAAAGAACTATACAAGTGAGATATGGTAGATGAGTAGCAAAATTTGTTCTTACCTTACATGTTGATTTTGTGAGAGCATGCATCTCGTAGTTTCTCGACTTTAGTTTCTCAATCATATCTCAAAATGCGTTCAATAACAAGTCTCCTTCGTATACCGACAATTACAGGGGTTTTACAGGGTTGAAGAGTTAACGGAATGAGATGCCCTATAATGGAAATGGGCGATGCAGTTCTGAAATTCGGTTACAGAGGACCGAGGGGGATGGATTCATTCCTGGTCGGATGGTGAGGGGGGCGAAGGCGAGATCATGTGGATCCGGTGGCAGCGCTGTAATTCAACGAAGACTTAGAGAGGGAGGGAAGAGGGGAACACGATACTTTGTTGTTTCCAGTATTTTTTTCTTCTATTTACTTTTTTGCCAAAGCAAAACAATATTCCGCAAAATAAAGAGATTCCCTATGTTGGTTAGGAGGGGTTTGAACCGACCGGCTGAAGGTTTCAACATTTTGTTTTTTGGACTTGGTTTCCAGAATCCAACCTGCCACATGTACCATGACGTGGCCCAATAGGAAGTGGCTGCACCGGTGCTGCACTTTTAATAGCGGCACCTTAGAATTGGCCGAGAAATAAAAGAAACTGAATTGCGCTTTCTTTGCTCAAACCCAGATGTAAGCAAAACACTAGAGATCATCAGATTCTCTTCTTCTTCCTTCGACAAGGAAAGTTCCAGAGCTGAAACCCAGAAAAATAGAGACACGAAACCAAGCAGAAAGCACAAATAGAGAACGGAACTAAAAAGAGACGAACACACAATTTAACGAGGTTCCCAAACTACTGGTCACTCCTCATCTCCGAAATAAAACTTGCTACTTTCTGAGAGACTTTTTATTATGATTTTTCCTATCAAGCAAAATGAAAAAGAAATAGAGTATAGAAACTGAAAAACCATCAGCCCAAATCACAATCCGATCTGTATAAACCAATGTTGTCAAAACCTAACCGGACTATGACCCGATAATGTTAACGGCTCGCATTTTAATGGTTCAACCGGTATTGGGCCGTTAAAAAACCGTTAGTGAACCGTTACTTTATATAAATAATAATATCATAAGTAGAAGACACATAAGATAGTAATTTAATAGTTTAATGACTACAATAAAATATACCAGGTACCAATTAGTAATATTACATATTATATATATTTAGTTATTTACTAACTAACAAAACCCTAACCAACCCCTCCCAAAAGCCGCCGCACACCTTCCTCACCTTCACTCTCTCTAAAAAAAAATTCAACTCTCGAAGGTTTCTAGTTTTCTTCCAAGTTTTTTCTACGATTCTTCTTCATAAACCCTATCCCCACCCTGCCGCCACCAGCCCACCACATCGAGCCTCACCGCCTCCGTTGACAAATCTCCGATGGGAACCGCATAGCAGGTTCACCGTCTCCATCGCGCCCGCCGCCAGCATCTTATTCCCCGTCTGCTTCACAATCACAAATATCTCCTTCCTCCACCCCGCTCACACGCATTCTTAGATCCGACCACCATGTCCAAAGGAAGGCCATCTCGACCATCGCCGCGGTATTAACCTGTGCGATCGCGGCTCGATCGAGGAATGGATCTGCTAAATTGACAACTATCCGAGCCTTGCCTCTCCAGTTGCCTCGCCTCCCTTCAAATTTTTTTTCATTTTTTCCAATGGACGGCCAGAAATTAAAAACCGATCGGACGGTTCGAGCGGCTCGAACGGTTAACCGTTTTGACCGCTCGCCGACCGACCATTCTACGCGCTTCGGCTTTTGAACTGACCCGAGCCGGTCTGAACTCCGGGTGCCGGTTTTGGCGGTCGGACCGACCGGCTCGGGTCGGCTTTGATAACACTGGTATAAACCCTCAACAGCTAAGAACCTCTTCCCCTGAACTGTTGATGACCTTGTAACAAAAAGACCCGCCCTCTATCGCTCTCTTTTTTCTCAGTTACAATCCACTCCTTGACACTCGAATTACACAGTATAAAGAGGTGAAGCCAAGTATCCGTTGAGAAGACCAAGCTAGCCATTGCTGATTTTCCGCCAAGATTACTTCTTCCGAGGAGACCGTCCTTAGCCGAATGAATCTTGAAAACTTACCAAAGGTGGATCAATCTTCTATTCTCTTATTTCGTTCATCAAGAACCTCACCTAGTGTACCGAAACTAGGACTTCTTAATTTCTCAACTAATGTGGCCATTGATGTCGGCTTTTTTATGAACAAAAAGAACAAAAACAAATTCTATGCGATAGAAAGAAAGTGTTTACACCTAAAAAATACTCTTGTTCCACATTGATTATTTACAAGGCATTAATTGTCTTTATAAGGCCAGATCAATAATAACAATTAATGTTATTTAAGTTGGGCTTTATGGTACTAGATTTTCAATCCCAAACTACTAAGTCCCTAGGAAGGAACTAATCTCGTCGCGTGGATAGAGACTAAGTCTGGGAGACCTCGCTCGTCGCGAGTTCGCTAGACGGTCCTCGTCGCGAATAAGGTAGACCTCAGTGGTCGCGAGTCTACTAGATCATGCTCGTCGCAAGTTCGCTAGACTAAAGTGGTCGTGAGTTCTAGACCATGTCCAAAATCTAAACTAACAAGTTGGAAGTAAGAAGGCAAGCTACGCAGGAGAAGAAAGCCACAAAAATACTAAGTCAGAGAGCTAGACCACGTTGGCATCAAGTCTACTAGATCACGATGGTTGCGAGTGGGAATTTTTATGTCAAGTTTGGTAGGCCTCGTTGGTCGCGAGATCTAGACACCATGTAGGACGTGAGATGTAGAAAGCCCTCGTCTTGAGATCTGAAATGGCCATGGTAAAAGGGAGGAAAGTAAAAAGACGCCAGTTCCAAAAGAGAGAGCATACGTTTAACTGGGAAATTGCCAATTATCCCACGTTTAAGGACACGTCAGCCATGTTCGAGTAAGAAGGGGAGCAATTCTATTTGGAAGTTACTCTTAGACGGTTTTTCTACGACGGTTAATACTTCAAGGCTATAAATAGGAGGAGGAGTTGACATAGAAAAAGTTCGTTAAATTCACACTAGTCCACATAATGTCAAATTCTATCCTTTTATCCCTTCCTCTGCAATTTTAGCCGTAGTCGAAGATCTGGAGCTCTCACTGAACCTCCATAGGAGTAGGTGTAATTTAGTGTAGATCTGTCTCGTGATTCATGTAAACATCAAACACCCTCGTTCGAATTGTGATTAAATAGGTTTGAGTCGTGTTAAGTTAATTGTTGTTGAAAGAAGTCAATGTGCAATCAATTCGATTTCAACGCAAGTTTTCTTGCCGGAAAACAAATTTGGCACACTTGGTGGGACATTGTGTTTGATCTGATGGCTCCAAGACAGAGGCAACAAGAAGGTGATCTCTCGCGTGGGTTTGTAATGAAAAAAGTTGCTAAATTTTTCCAAGGCACAGAAGATGTTGCCGGAAACAATGGCATGGCGGAGAGCCGGAGACTTTGCCGCCGCCGGCACAAAGTGTTCATGTAACCAGCAACATCATGCTCATTCGTCAAATGGTGGAGGAGAACCGCAAGATGATGACTGAGAACCATCAAGCCTTAGAGGAGAACCGCCAAGTGATGAAGAAAAACCGTCAAGTGATGGAGGAGAACTGTCGCATGATGGAGGAGGCATTGGCAGGTACCCATAAGATAATATCTCAACTTGATTGTTTTTATTTAAGTTTGGATAGGCGTGTGGAACATATTTTTGAGATAAAAATGATTTAAGAGATTTTGGGCAATTTTTGACATAACCAGCAT